ACTACTACTACTCCTCCTCCTCTGCTGCTGCTGCTACTGCTGCTGCTGCTGCTGCTACTACTACTACTACTACCACCAGAAGAGCCAGCTAGGATGTCTCTGCTGTTAGAGCTGCGAGAAGAGGTCGTGCGGAGTCTTCTGGAGTTCCGTGTGGACCCAGCATGTGCGGCTCTCAGACCGGGTTCAAGGATTCTTCAGCTGGTTTTCTAAATGTTATGTATTGCCACAGATGTAGTGGAACCTGCAGCGCTCAAAATCATGCAGGCAAGCCGTCCTCCAGCATCAGCAGACCGCCGGACCCTTTGAGGTGCTGCTCTTGGTTTTGTCATGGCTATGAAAACGCGAAAGTGCTGGGGCCGTTGCGTGTCGCCTGAATCTGCAGGTATCCGCAGTGGACTCCTCTTGTGGCCTTGGCCGCGAGTGGGAGCGCCTTGACCAGGTCTCAGAGGTCAGCAGGGTGGCAGCGATTCTTGGGATTCGTGATTGCTAGGTGTCGGAAATTTGGGAAGGATCGAGATATGAGATGTGTCGAGAGGTTTTGGACCCAGGAGGAAACAGACTGAGTTTCGTGGCTTGGAGTTGCTGACACTGGTGATGGTAGACAATCTGTCAAAATACGGAGGAGGAAGAAGAGGCTGTTGAGACTGATGTTCATGATGGTGATGAGAATCGTTATGGCCACGGCACAGGCGCCAGATGCTGCACGCATTCTTGTAGTAGTAGTCGTCGTCCTCCTCCTCCTCAGCGGTTCATTATACTGCCATCCGATTCAGTGTGTTGAGCTGATTGTGAGGATTCAGATTTCATTCCGCAGCTCTCCAAAGAGCATGTGTCCAGACCGCATGCAAAGCCTGGAAAGATAGCCATGGACAGCATGTTGCCTCATCCCAGGTCCAACTGCGATATCATCCCCAGCAGACAGCAACAGGGCAAACACATGCAGTGCAGACAGCAATGAGGAAACAAGGAGCGTGCAGGCCATAAAGATGAAGCATGCTGAACCTGTCAGAACCGAATCAGCCAAAGCTGCGCAACAGGTGGCATTAGTGACAATGCACCAACACCGCGGGGCTGTGTTTGCATTTTGAAGGGACGTCGCATGAACAGATGAGCCAAAACTTCCGCACCCCGCAATCCTCCACAATAGAGCTCCCCCCAACAGGTAACAGTCAGCGACCCAACAGGGATCCACAATCGAGGCAAATTTGTGAAACAGGCCAGAATATCAAAGATCGTCATACGAATCATAGCAGGTGATATTATGGTTCTGCCGTCGAATCTTTGCGCCACCCAAGGTGTGGATCGCGCTCAGGTGGTGGCAGAGCTACTGTCAGCCCAGACATCGTCTGCAGAGCGCGGTGCTCAAAAAACACAAGTGGCTGCTTTGAGAGTTTGGTGTTCCAATTAGACGATCCAACTTCAGGCTTGCCGACGAGACCGTTGCGCAGCACTTTGTCAAGGCAGTCTGCAATATGATGCCAATATACTGAGTGATTGCATTCTGTGCCAACACGACCAGGATCGCGCCGAACATCCAGCTTGCCCTCAGTCATATTTTCATGGTATGGCACCTGGCGTTCTGTCGCTGAGTAGACCTGCCCATGGCCGTTCGTCTCTCTTGGCTTGAAGTGTGGGGGCTCAGGGCGGCAAGCGACCGTTCCCGCAAGTGCCGATGGCTTCAGTGGAGCAGCTTTGACCAAGGCCGCTGCAGTTCTTACGGAAAGAGTTCGGCTTCGGGGTGTGGGTTTCCTGTATCGGCAAGGCCCTTGCCGCGCTGCATCCCAACGACATGGAGTCCTATTTGGAAGATGTTCGACCGGAGGCGGAATGTGTGTCGTCGTCGTGGTGGTGGTTTTGGTTTTGTGGTTTGTTTGTCGTTGTGGTCATAGAAAGATAGATCGGCAGCTAGACCGACAGATGAGGAATCAGCTTGGAGGAGGCATCTCTCGAAATGCCTTCAGGAGCTGCCACTGCACTCTGTCGGCTTACCGTTCGTCCGACCCGTGCCAGGAGCTGGAATCACTTGAGAACCGGCTGGAGGACTGGGAGAGTATTGTACAACCACTGCAGCTTGTCACAATTCCCTGGCCAGTTGCAATACATTCACCATGATTACCAATTATCGCCATCTAGCCTTTTCGTTACTTTCATCATCATGACTGGAGCCATGAGAACTGCTGACCTCATCACCACCTGTCATAGTAACAGGAAGAACCCTAAGCGTAAATTCAGTTCATAGTCATCGTGGTCATCATCATCGATATGACCTCCATGGACATCATCATCGCCGCCGCCACTGCCGCCACCGCCGCCGCCGCCGCCACCACCACCGCCACCACCACCACCACCACCACCACCACCACCACCACCACCGAAACCACCACCACCACCACCGAAACCACCACCACCACCACCGAAACCACCACCACCACCACCGAAACCACCGAAACCACCGAAACCACCACCACCACCACCACCGAAACCACCACCACCACC